CGACTCACCTCCACCTCTACCGTCTTTCCTGGCAAAATTTGGCTAGTCCGAGAAGCGAGCCTTACGAGAAATGGTGAGCGCTTTTAGAAAAAAGAAAAAAATTATTTGGTGCAAAAAATATTTTAGAAAATAAATATTTCAAGTTCTTCTAATGAAATGAAAATTTTCGTTCAAATGATTCTTCTAAAACTTTCTGTAAATAAAAAGATTAAAACTAAAATCTAAATTGCATTTATGATATGCTTAACAAGTTATGAAGAAAAAAAATTGTCAGCGTAAAAGATTATTTATAGGTGCAATAATTTCACTAACCAATGGTGCAGGAAAAACAAAATTCAAGAGGAGCAAAGTTGGAGCAATAAGCGTTGTCACTGGATTCATATCAGACATAAAATGAGAGTTGGCATGGATTTTTTGAATCGCACTCCCCACCGAATGCGTTGCGATGTTTCTCTCTCGCTCAATATATGCATAAATATTATTTGGAAGTGCGTTATCCTGAAATATTCCCGATAGGAAAACAAGCGAATCCATGGAATTACGCTTCTACTAATTCGAGTTTAAATTTAAAATAACTTAATAAAAACAATATTAATTAAAAATTTTTAATGCACTTTATGCATTTCGAGAAATATTCGTAATTCTTGAAATTATTTTACTAAAATAAAATCCAAGTGGCTATTTCTCAAATATCGAGGAATTTTGCAGAATGTAGAGTCCATGCATTGGTGCATGTTGGCAAGTATTGGACCCATTTGCGCTTCTCCTACTCTCTCTCTCGCCTTCTTCCAATTCCCCTCCAATATTTAATTCTATATTTGCCAACAACGAAAGCCTGAATTCCCCCTTCAATCATTGATAACACTTGTGAGTATAGTTTAAAGTGACATCTTTTAAATATCATTTATTATTTGTTGTTTTCTTATTTATTATTATTTATTTATAAATTATTATTTATTTTCTTAAGAAGACTGAATAAGTTATTCATTCACTGTTATCATTATTGCTGATTACTGAACGTTTGAAATTTTTCCGAAGCAAATTCTCGAAAATCAAAAAATTTACAATTTCTTTAAAATTATTAGCTTTTATTTGCAATTATAAACACTTAAATATTCCGCTGAAAACCTCAAATGGAAGCAATTAGAGCAATTACTTTTTTCTGGAATATCATTGAAATTTTAAATATTAGTAGTCGAACCACTTCGTTTTAAATTGCCGAATTGCTAAGAAGTTGCGAACCACAGCTTCATCTTTTCGTTCCTCCAGCATTTTCACCATCATTTTCCGATTCGATGAGATGCGCTCCGAGAGTTGAAAAGCGTTTTAGTGGAGAGGGCCACTTGGGAACAAAAGCACGACTGAGCGCAGCCATTAAAAAGGTTTGCTTTCACCAGAGGGAGTCGCCTGGGAATGGAAATGCGAATGCAACTATTGCTTCACTAAAATATCACTTTACATTTGCATGAATAAATTTCGTTTGAAAAAATAATTATTATTGAATAAAAAAACCTGAAGCAATCCTAATTTATTAGCTTCCTTCATTTCCCTTCATTTCGTCGATATTTCTCTTCACTGAACCACTAAACCAAGTGACTTCCCTGACAAAATTTCTAAGTGCAGCAGTAACAGCCAGCAGAGTTCGTCTAACCAGTTGTGCTCCCTAATCATAAAATTTTATTTACCCTCGGATGAAGGCGATCTGAGGCGGAAATTCTTGACGCCTCTGGCAGGCACCTTTTTAGCCGTATAAAACCTACGACTTTTTCTTCCAATTATGTTTTGACTATCTAAAAATCGTAGAGTGCAAAAGCAATGCGTTATGTCTGCGGCTTTTGCCGAACTAACAAATTGTTGCCAGCACCGTCGCTTCCACAACTGAGTAGAAATGCCGAACCCTGAAATCCTCGGTCGACCGCTAAACAATCTTAAGAGTCGCCAATCTGCTAAGCACTTCCTATGAATCGACATCTCTTGAGTTCCTAAATAATATGCCGTCTCGACTTGTCGTAAATCACCGTTACTAGCTCTCTGACAGATATTTTTTCAAGGGAAACCGAGAAGAAAGAAACTTTCACGATTCTTGCTTCCAGGCAAATTTTGTTCCATTTATAAAATATCTTTCTTCGCATCGCACTTACACAATTATATTAATTTTGGCATTTTCTTCCTATTTTAATCGTTTTTCAGCAAATTTAATTGTTTTCAGAATTTATAAAGGAAAATAAAAACAAAAAGGAGTCATGAAATGTTTCGATTCCACTCAATACAAATATTTTCGAAACGACACAAATAACTCTTTTTATTTTTAAATTTGCAACTTTAAAAATTCATTTTTTAAATTTCTTTTTAAGTTTTTAAAATATTCAAATATTCAAATTTGTCGAATTATTTAAATTTATTTTATCTAAATTCGTGAATTTTTAAAGAAAAAAATCTATAAATCTATAAATAGGAGAATTCTATATTAGCTCCGCAAAAAAATAAAATATTTATTAAAAAAATTCACGAAAAAAAATTAAATATTGATTAAAAAATGAAAATTATTGAATAAAAACAAAAAGCATATATATATACGTAAAAAAAAAATTCATGAGGAGAAATAAGCGATTTAATCAAGATTTGTAAGAAATTTTCGCATCGAAATACCATTTTCTTATGCGAGATAATCACAAAATTCAGATGAATTTCATTTTAACGATCTAATCTGCAATGCCTTAATGTTAATGAAGGAGATAAAACTGATAAGAAATGGCACTGATAATCGAAGAGATAAAACTGCCAGCTATTGGCGATTTTTTAAAAATTTGTTTAATTTTTCGATCAATAATACTTTCAGATTTAAAATTTTAGTATTTTACAAAATAAATTATGAAAAAACGACTTTGATTTTAAAGCAATTTAAATTTTATCGATAAATTTGATCGTTTTATCCAATAAAAGTAAAATTAAAATGTTGAAAATTCTATTCTGACGAATTTCTTTTTCACAACTGAACATTGTTTCGATTCGTATCGTTTGATGCTAGCAAATGCGACGTTAAAAATGAATTGCAGCATTTTGGAGAGCAGCTCGAAGCACCGAAAAACCTCCGCCACCGCCTTCAAGTTCGCACCGTTAAGAGCAAAGGAAGCAGCCAACCAGAAATGATGAGAGCTTCTCGCAGAGGGAACGATCGATTCTCTGTTGAAAAATGAAATGCGATGAGTTTTCCTTATTCACTTAGAAAGTCGAAGGACAACTTAGGCAAACGAGAGCAAAACGGAAGTGGTAGCTGCTAAGCCCGCAGCCCGCACGCAAAATGGGTTCCCTCGCGTGAACTGTTGAAAGGAAACCGCTAAAAATATCGCACGTATATCGAAATACTTGGCTCGAGACAAGTCTATTGACCACATGTGCTTCCTTAAAGGTCGAAAGTCTCAAAATCCCTTTAATTTTTAGACTTTGCTCCTCGATAGCGCCTACTACAAGGCAGTCTCTGCCACTTCAACAAAAAGGCAGAGTGATGAGGACACGTTCCGCAGGGCTTATCACCGGGATTAGACTGTCACTGCTGCATCCATCTTATATTTTGGCAAAAGAAATCTAAGGTCAAAGGTCAGGGAAAATTCGTGGAAAAAAGCGAAGAATTTCAAATAATTCGAATTCAAATTCAAATTTGCCAAAAACTGGCAATTGTCCAAAATTTGAAGAATATTTCTTTTAAAAAATTTATCTTTTCTTAATACTTTTTTATTGGCAATTTTAGAATATTTTTTACGGGAATGAAAATAAAAAATTTTAGAAAATTTGCGACGAAAATTCGTGGGAATTTTTCGAAAATTTTCTCATATTTTATTTATTATTTATTTTTATTTTATTTGTTGATTTTATTTATTTTCGTCGCATTTTTTTATTTTCAATAATTTTCAACTTATAAATGGAAAAAATAAGGAATTTTCGAAGAAATTACAATTATTTTTGCACTTATTTTAGCGAAAGGGGATTATTCCGAGGCTTTGGCCAAGCGTTTGGCCAAGGCTTGCTATCGAGCCAAGAACTAGTCCCAAGCACGGCCAATTATTCCGAGGCTTGGCCAAGGCTTAGACCAGGACTTAGGCATCGGCAAAGTTCAAGAGAAGCTAAAAATTAATTTCAGGTCGAATGTCATTAATTGGGAAGCGTTCGAATAATTTTTATGGACGAAATCGCTCGAATAAGCGAATTAAGTAATATTTTCTTCTTTTTTTAGCAATTATTTAATCAATTTTGTTAGAGATTTTTCTAAAATTATTTTTTTCGCTATTTATTTAGTGATAAAATATGTTGAAATAATAAATAAGAAGCAAAAATAAATGAAATGAATAAAAAACAAAATATAAAAGAACATTTTTTAAAAACATAAATTTTATAAATTTCAATGTTATAAATATTTATTCATAAATATTTAATTTACAATCTCAAGCAAAATTTCTGCAATTATTTTTTATTTTTTTCAAATTATTTTTTTTCAAAAATATATTTTTCTTTTATCTTTTATTTTTATTAATTATTTCGATATTATTCGCACCATTTGTTGATTATTTTGATTTCTAATATTTTTTAATATTTAATCTAATCTAATAATCTAATATTTTTTAATTCAATCGCCAAAAAGTAACCGAAGCAATCTCTACCAAATTTTTTTTATCGATTTATTCTAATTGATTAAAACTGATTAATTTTGAAAAAAAACTTATTAAAAGAAAGTTAAAATATGACAATTAAATATAATAAGGCAAAAGTGGAAAAATTTCATTGAAAATTATAAAATTTTTCAAATTTTTCTTACGATTTGTTTTCTTTTATTATTTTTATTTCTTTTATTTTTGTTTATTCTTCTGTTTCTTACTCTTTTTTATTCAAAAAAAATTATTGGTTTAGGAAAGAAAATGAAGAACCATCAACTTTTGTGAATCAGCTTGCTTCATTTTCATTTACAACGACTCAACAATCGTCGCAGTCGTTTAGTTCGTCAGTAGATGGTTAATTTAATAGTTTGAAAATTGTAATAATTATTATTTTTTTCGATTCTTTATTTTTTAGCATTTTAAAGGAATTTTCGAAATTTTTAGTGTCAAAATGGGAACGTCCATCATTAAATCTGTCGGGAATGAATGCCGATATTATTATGCAAACAATTGATATTGATTATTATATGAGTATGAAATTTTTAGATAGATTTCATCTTTTTTTCGATTTATAATCACAGAAAATTATAAAAACAAATAAAATATCGAAAGTTTTATCGAGAAAAAAATTTTTTTCAAATCCTTTTTCGTTTATATTTTTTGTTTTTATATAATATATATAAATATTAGTTAATTTGAATTACACCGTAGAAATAAAATTTCATGAGTCGAAAAGATACCAATCTCTAAAACATCAACATATTTATTGGAAAATAAAAAAAATGATAGTGACGACGTCTTTCTTCAATAGCATTATTCTTGAAGCTTATTTTTTGGCATAGCATCTAAAGGAATCTACAACAATTTATTTTTTAATTGATTTCATGTAAAATTTTAAAATTTTAGGCCTTGGCAGGACTTGGCCTTAGGCTTGTGTTTAGGCTTTTGTTTTTATTTTTTCTCTTTTTTTATTTTGACAATTTTAATCTTTAATTCTTGTCGTTAATTTTAATTTTTAAAATTTTATATCATGTTATTCCTCTTTTTTAAAACGTAAATATATGTTGTTTCTATTCAAAATCTCCAAAATTTTTATTTTAAAAGATGTCGAATATTAAAAATTGAATATTAAAAATTTGCTTTTTTCTGATTGATATGTACTAAAATCTAATTTTTAAATTATTAAAGATGGTGAAGATGATGCGATTATTCGATTGTATGGTGTAACTTATCAAGAAAATTCAATATGCGTCCAGATTAGTGGATTTTTGCCATATTTTTATGTACAAGTCGATGATACATTTATGGTAGAACACATCGATCGCCTTCAATGTGTTTTAAATGAATTAGTTAAAGTTTGTTTGTTTCAGTTGTCTTTATAAATTTTTTTGCATTTTTAATCATTAAAATGATGTCGAAGATTCAAGCTTTTATTTCAGTGTTCCAAACTAATTTCACCACAAATAATTTAAGTAAAAAATTTGCTATGATCCATGCATGGTTATCCAAAAAAGAAATACCTTCCAAATCTGTCAAATTTTATTATAATCCTTACTAATTACTTTCGTTTTCCTCTAACTCTTTATTATATATTAGAATTTCAAAATTTCACCTTATTTAAAATTTTTTTCAGTTGAAATAAATTATAATCTTCATTTATTGTTTGTTTAATTTGTTTTTTGATTGTAGAGTCAATCTTCTGGCTCTGGGTTATCAAAAAATGTCCAAAAATTTGTTTTAAATATTGAAATAGTTTATGGCGCGAACATATATGGCTTTAAAAAGAAATTGGATGATAAGTTTCTTAAAGTTAGTCTTCGATCACCGAAATTAATCAGTACTTGTTAGTTTTTCGCTTATTTGTGGATTCTTTTTTTTCTGTCAGTTGTTTTTCTTAAATTACTAAAACTAGTCAATTTCTTTTCATAATTTTTTCAATTGAAGGTACTAATTCTATTAAAATTTATTAAATTTTAGAAATATTTAGTTATTTCTCAGGTCGACGAATTTTTGCAAATGGAATTGATTTATTTGGCAAAGGGAAGATTGAATCCTTGGTATCTTTCGAGGCAAATATCGATTTTGAAATTCGGTTTATGGTGGATGTTTCTTTAGTTGGCTGTGGATGGATCACTTTGCCTGCTAAAGCATATAAAATTTTATCAAAGGATGAAATGATTAGCAGATGCCAGTTAGAGGTTTTTTCATCGAAAAATATTATTTAAACAAACTAAAATTAAATTAAAATTTCGTAAACAAATATTTTAATAAAATTTTTAATGGCTGTATGCATTCACAAATGTTTGAACAGATTTCAATGAGTTTTAAATTTATAGATAAATGAAATTTGCTGAAAAATTTTCTTTTCGTGAACTACAATTCACATTTTTTAAAATTTTAGGAACCTTTTAGGAAATTAAATATCAGCCATTAAATAAGTAATCTCAGTTTTACAATTTATAATGAAAGTGGCATTCATCAGTTCTGGTTACGGCTCTTAGGAGCTGCAATAATAATAAGGTCGAGGTAATTTAGGAGAAAGTAAATTGAGAATAGAAATATAGATACTATGGTTCAAAGTTCCTTAGCATAATCCGGATTTTTCAATATTAGAATTATTTTTATCCTTTCAGTCTTAATGCCTGAACTGATAAATATAAGCAAATTGAATTGATAAATTTTTTGCTACATATTTATTGTTTAGGTTTAATTTATTGCGTTTTATATCTTATTTTCGTTTTTTTCACATTTTACATTTTAGTGCTCAATAGATTATTTTGACATCATAATTCATTCACCCGATTCATCTCCCGAGTGGTCTTTTATAGCTCCATTAAGGATTCTATCATTTGATATTGAATGTACAAATCGGAAAGGTATTCATGTTTCATATTTCTTTATTCATTTAGTAAAAAACTTTTTTCGTTTGAAATAATTTAAGCTTCCGCTGGAAATATGAATTTATAGGTATTTTCCCTGAGGCGCATACAGATGCTGTGATTCAAATTGCCAATATGGTCAAACGAGAAGGTGAAGATGAACCCTTTATCCGCAATTGTTTTGTTCTTGGCGATACTGCTGCTGTTGTGGGAAGTGACATAATAATATGTAAAACTGAGGAAGAAATGCTTGAAGTAAGTTGAAAACCGTGTTTCACTGTGGGGAGAATTTTTTTGGAAAATTATGGCATTTTTTTGGTTTTGTTATTTGGAATTGCTTCTGGAAATATATGCTTTTGAAAATATTAAGTTTCATATTCTGAAATAATCTTAGTTTTCCAAAGTGCATTTTTTTATAGTTTTTTTAAAATTTATCTTCGAAAAAGTTGAATTTAGTGGTAAATTTATATTTTTTAGAAATGGGCATCATTTTTGCGCACAGTGGATCCCGATCTGATTACTGGATATAATATACAAAATTTTGATTTCCCCTATATTATAGATCGAGCCAAGGCTCTAAAGGTTTAAAAAAATTTTGTCAAAAATTTATTTTTCCTTATTTTTCCTTATTTTTTGAATTCATTCTTTTTTTCACTTTTGTTATTATTTCAATCTGTGTATGCGCTATTCAGCCTTTTGATTTTTAGGAGTATTCAAATTTTAAATATTTAAAGTATTTGTTGTATTTTTAACTTTTAGATCGAAAATCGTGTTTCTTTGTTGGGTCGTGCTGTTAATTCTCTATCAAAAGTTAGGGACATGCAAATGTCTAGCAAACAAATGGGTAACCGAACAAATAAAATGATAAACATCGAGGGGCGTGTGGTTTTCGATGTTTTACAAGTATGTACATATATCTTCGCTTTCTGTTCAAATTGATCATGATGTAATCTTCATTTTTTTCCTTGTATATTAATATATCAAACTAAAAAATAAAAACAAAATAAAAGTTAAAGCCCATTAGTGCAAGCCCATTATAATTCCACAAAATGGAATGTTATTTTTGCAAATTGATATGATTGCATTTTAAGTTTGTTTGCTTAAATAACAGAAAGTTGCCAGATTGTGTTACGAGACTATAAATTACGAAGCTATACTTTGAACAGCGTCAGTTACCATTTTTTATGTGAACAAAAAGAAGATGTAAATTATTCGATTATTGCCGATCTTCAGGTAATGCGCTGAAAACTTCTAGAAAACTGAGTTGATTTTTTATTGCTTATATATTGGAATTTAATTCAAATTTAATTTAAATAAATATTGCAATGTACTTATTTTCAGAATGGAAATGCGATTACCCGACGTCGTTTAGCCATTTACTGTATGAAAGACGCTTATTTGCCTCTTCGTCTTTTGCAGAAATTAATGTCTGTAGTTAATTATATAGAAATGGCTAGAGTAACAGGAGTGCCATTAGGTTATCTACTTTCCCGTGGGCAACAAATCAAAGTTTTATCTCAGATATTAAGGAAAGTAAGTGTCATAAAGCATAATTAAAATGTTATAGATAAATATTTCTTTGAAGGAATAATGCAGGTATAATGTGTTTCCCGAAATTTTATAGCTTTGGTCTTTATTAATTGATTATTTGAATTTAAGGCAAAATCGCTGAACTTTTTTCTACCAGTTATTGAGACAGCACCGCTTGATGATACGTTTGAAGGAGCCATCGTAATTGAACCAAAAAGAGGATTCTATAATGAACCAATAGTTACTCTTGATTTCGCATCGCTTTATCCTTCCATTATGATTGCACGCAATCTGTGCTATACAACATTGATACAGTCTAATTCAGCTATTCATGGGTTATTTTTTAATTTAAATTATAATTATAATATAATTTTGATTTCTTGATATATTCATTGAAAAAATTGCAAGAAATCTCTAAATCTAAAATCTAAATCTAAACGGTCAAATCGTCTCGAATACGGTGAAATCGAAAAAAAAAATGCTTTAGGTAATAATTTAATAATTTTGCTCTTTAGATTTTTTTATTCGTTTTAATTTTTCTTAATGAAAATTTTTTTAGTGAAAATATCTTTTAGTGAAATGTTTTATGATTTTTGCAAAATTGTAAGCTTATTACTTATATTCGCGTTTACAGTTTGAGTGATAATGATTTTGTAATAACTCCATCAAATAATCGTTTCATAAGAGCAACCGTACGTCGAGGATTGTTGCCCGAAGTGCTGGAGGATTTATTATCCGCTAGAAAACGTGCAAAAAATGATTTGAAAAATGAAAAGGATCCTTTCCGGTTTGTTCTTTGCGAAAACATTTCTATGAAATTGCCTTGGATGAAATTTTTCATATTTTTTCCTGTTTTGTCGCGTTTTTCGAGAAAATTGTAAGAAAAAAATCCATAAATGGATGGAATGATTGGAAATGAGAATATAATTGAAATGTGGTTCTCTATAGATGTTTTTCAGTCAAATGGTTCTAAATGGAAGGCAATTGGCCCTAAAAATTTCTGCTAATTCTGTATACGGTTTCACAGGTGCAACAATTGGAAAATTACCATGCCTGGAAATCTCACAATCGGTAACTTCTTACGGGCGACAAATGATAGAACTAACAAAAAATGCTGTTGAAGAAATATATAAATCAGGATACTTGGATGGTAAATGTCCGTGTGATGCTCAAGTCTGTTATATATGTTTTTATAATATGTAATAAATAGTTTCATTTCGATTTGCAGTAGATTTGCCTAAATGCATTTTAAGGTCATTTATGGTGATACCGATTCAGTGATGGTGAAATTTGGTGTAAAAAATGTTGCTTCTGCGATGGAACTTGGTCGGCATGCTGCAGTGGAAGTAAGCAAGAAATTCACTTCTCCAATCCGGCTGGAATTTGAAAAGGTTTAGTTTCATTATTTGTTATTTTTTGTATTAAATTTTTTCATTCTCAGATTTACAGTAGTCACTCAAAAAAAGAGTTATATTTTCTTTTATCTTTCAGGTTTATTTTCCTTTTTTATTAATCAATAAAAAACGATATGCGGGTTTATATTTTACTTGCCCAGAAAAGGCCGATAAAGTCGATTGTAAAGGCTTGGAAACTGTTCGTCGCGATAATTGTCCTTTAGTGTCCAAGGTCCAGAATGCTTGTCTTGAAAAAATGCTATTTAATGGAGACGCGACTGGTGCTTTGGATCATGCCAAAAAGGTTACTTATTATTATCGTTTTTTTTAGAAGTATTTTTTTTTGTTACTTGCATTATAATATGTAAGAGAAGTGTGTATATGAATTTACTGTGGCATTTCGATATTATTTTCTTAGTAAATTTCTTAGTAATTGATTGTTGATTATAGATAATTTCCGATTTATTATGTAATCGCGTGGACATATCAGAATTAATCATTTCGAAAGAATTAACTCGAGCAAGCACGGTAATTAAATTTATTCTTTAATTTATTAATTTTGGCGATCCATTAACGAAACAAGTTTCATTTTTTAAGCTTTGTCTGAACCTTTTTTTCTTTTTTTCTGATATTTTTTATTCATATAGTTTTAAAAAAGCCTAATAAATATTTCTTTATTATTGAACCAAATAAATATTTCTTTATTTTTTAAAGTTTTTGAAAGTATTGACCTTATATTTATATTTAAGAAACATTTTTTGATCTTTTATATTATTCCTATTATGTTGCTTATTATTTCTACGATATTTATTTTTTTTTATTTCTGCTTTACAATATTAAAGACCTATGCTGCTAAACAAGCACATGTTATATTAGCTGAACGCATGCGTGAAAGAGATCCCGGTTCAGCTCCTCGCCTCGGAGATCGTGTACCATATGTTATAGTTGCCAAAGGTCAAAAAGTTGGTTTTTCATTCTCTTTTTTTTATGCGTTTTTTATTGCAACATTGTTTCATTTATCTTTTATTGTGATTAAGGTTCCTGCTTATGAAAAGGCTGAAGATCCAATTTATGTGCTAGAAAATAATATTCCTATCGACACGGTATATTACTTGGAAAATCAGCTGGCAAAACCTCTAGCTCGTATTTTCGAACCAATTTTAGGGGATAAAGCTGAATCAATTTTAACGAGTATGACTTTTTCATTTTAAGTTTTTTTTTATTTTCAGAGTTAAACTGATTAAACTTGAGTAAATTTTGAAAAGTTAAGGTGGTACCCACACTTTGGTTCGAACGGTAATGCATTCAAAAGTCTCAGGATTATCCAATTTTTTTCAAAAAACTGAGAGATGTCTTTCTTGTAAAAGTAGTCTTCCAAATGGGTACGAAGGTGCAACGTGTTCTCATTGCAAACCGCACGAGGGAAAAGCCTATTTGAAACACGTAATTTTTATATATTTTTATATATATATATATTAAATTTTATATATTTTTACATATACTTTAAAAATTTTAAAATTTGAAAATTTTTTAATGAATATTATTTTAGTTAGCACTCATGAATATTACGGAAAATCGCTTTTCGCGTTTATGGACAGAATGTCAAAGCTGTGCTGGTACAGTCAGTGAAGAAATCTTATGCTCATCTTAAGTTTTAACTTTCTTATTATTTAAAGCCTAGCGAAATTATTAAATGTCTTCGAAGAAATAATACCTTTCTTTCATATACAAGAAATTTATTTATTTATTGAATTTTTTTACTTAAAATCCTTTCTTCTTTTCTTCTTTCCTACATTCTTTTCTTCCAAAAGCCCATTACTAATTCGGTTGAGTGAACATTCTCCTGTGGCCAGTCTAAACCTCCCAACTTGATGCCGTTCCTGAAGGTTAAAGACATTTACCTTTCCACCATCTAAACCTCTATTATCGAACCATTTATGCCTGCAAAATCTCGGAAATCTCTCTTGACCAATAACACAGATCTTTAATTGAATTTCCTCGTTTTTTAACAAAGCTTATAATGACGACAGAATATAGCCTAAGATAACATAAGATTCACTCTATGATATTATTGTACTGTAATTGTGGGATTTCTGTCCGCTGTAGGAGTACATAGATAGGAATGGCAGGAATGACCCAAGGTAGATGTCTTCGCTCTCAGTGGCCATTTTTCGTAACCTTATAACAGGACTGCGCAATGCACCCAGATGTGAATTTGCTGAAGCTGATTTCTTTACGAATAAATAAATAATTCTACAAATACACCTGCAGCTTTCCAGCTGCACATTTTTCCATCACTTATTTAGGGTTAAAATGGATTCCACCATAAAAATTGATATTTCTTTCATATATTTGTGGATAAAAGCCGGTATATGATGAAAAGAAATTCACAGACTGAATTTTCAGACGTGATTGTCCCATTTTTTATATGCGTGAAAAAGTGCGAGTTGACATTGCGCGACAAATGAAAGATTTCCAACGTCTTACTCTTTCCACATGGTGATAAATGATATCTTGTAACAATCCATATTATCTATTCTTGTTACTTCTTTTGGTTATTTTTCATATTTTACATACGTGCTGTCTGCTATCTGTTTTTAATCGAAGTCTTGTTAGTTCCAAATTTTATTGTTTTTTTAAGAAAAACAAATCTCTCCTAATTCGAGTTAATCATTCCTGTATCAATTGTTCTTAAAGATTTATGTGTTGTCATACCAATCAATTATGCAACAAGCCAAATAAGATGAAGAATACTTATAAAATCTGATAAGTGAATTCTTATTAGTTTCTTATTATTTTTAATAAATAAATCAAAAGTAATAACAAACAAACAAATAAATAATCGGCACAAAATAAAGATTACTTGCACAGCAAAGAACTAGATGTAAATAACATTAATAAAACCATTCCAAATAAAAGTTCAAACAAATTATATTTATTTAAAGCAGCTAAAATGGAAGATAACATAAACGTATAAATTCATTAATAATTTGATAAAATAGCTACATTTTTTCGTTAAAAAATGTATATAAGAACATTTTAAAAAAATAAATAATACGAGGAAAAAAGTAAAACCCGATCTCAAACTGGACATTAAAGCACTGAAAAATATTTTCACAAAGTAATATCGATAAATACGAATTTAATAAAAATTTTCAAACACTACCATTACTGCAATTTTAACTAAGAATGAAATGAACTAGAAATTTCTAAACTTTTAAAAGATCTCACTCAAATAATTTTATAACAATAAAAACATGCGAGATATTGAGAAAATCTATCTTATTTGATATAAAAATATGAGGGAAATCGTTAAATTTAATAAATTATAAATGGTTCCACATTAAATAGAATTTTTCAGTAGGTAAATTTTAGAGCTATTTTTTAGCAATAGAAAGCGATCTTATAATAACTTAGAAAAAAAGGGTTTTATATTACATACTTGTACAAACTGTCCGAGTAGTCACAGAATTACCAGAAATTGTTTTTACAGTGCGGCAGTGTTGACCTGTAAAAAGCATATATATATACATATAAACAAAAAATAAAACATATATGGGAAAAAATCATTTTATAACAAAAACAAACGAAAACCATTCCTTAAAATTTTTAAAAATACCAGAAAAATATAAAAAGCAAGGAGTAAAACAATAAATGTCTTAGGATTTTTTCATTCACAGTATTAGTTAATGAAACAAAACTGTCCATTAAGGCAATTTCTGCATCATCACTTAAAATAAATCCTTGATTCCTTTTGAAATTATGAAAATTTTAAAATTTATTAATATTAATATTATGCGTATTATGCGTTCGTTTATTTAAAGCATAGGTATACGGCTATTGCTACGTTTGAACTTCCTATAAAATGAAGTAGAAAGTCGGAAATTAGAGAACTATCCTAAAATACAATACAAAGGACGATAAAAACAAACCACGCCCGTTGTAAACTTCTTGATATTTTGCCGCAGGTTCAAAGATATCTTCTCGATCACTGCTTCCAAAGTCAAAACTGTGAAAATGACTGCCAAAACCATTAAAATCAAAATCACCAAAAAGATCGAAATCATCCCAAAGATCATCGAAAAGACCACCGGTAGAAAAACTATGTGCTCGTCTATGTGCCGATTTATGTGCTTCATTATGTGCTTTCATACCTGAAATAATCAATTATACGAACAACCAAACAATAATGCGTACAATAATTGGATTGTCTTAAATAATTTCTTTGATATTAAAGAATTACTTAAAAAAAAAATAAAGAAAAATCATCAGTGATAGTGATAATTAATAACTGCAAATATTTTTTGACTTTTTTTGTGATAAAAAGCCAAAGGAATGAATATGATTAAAAAAGGTAGCAAAAAATTACTTTCTTGGAAATTTTTATAAAATTTATCGAAATCAAAATTGTTGGCATGTTGATATTGAAACGATGCACCACCCATATCATAATTTTTTCTTTTTTCCTCATCTCCTAGTACTTCATAAGCTGAAATTTATAATTTTTAAAAAATTTGCCATCATCATAAGTCGAAACTTAGTATATGCTTAGTTTCAAGGTAATCTTTCCAGCCATCTTGACCATTTATTGTTGAATATTTCCAATTCATGAGATTAGTAAGTTGGAACCCTACAATTTTATTTTTATTTTCACAAATCCCAGTATTTTTTCAAAAATACTAATACATTACATTACAAGTTTGAAGTAAATAAAAACAATAATAAAAAACATCTGATTTGAAGTCGAAATCTTGAAATTTTAATCTTCCTAATTTAAAATTTAATATCAAAATCTTGACATAATCATTTCACCTTTTTATTGCCTTTGGCACCTTTACTGATATAACCAAGTGGATTTTTACAAATTTCTACAAGAACGTCAAAAGGTCATCTTACTGGGTTCCAAGACAATTAAGGGAGACCATATAGCGGAGCTCTTCTGCTTCAGTAATAAGCAAACTTTAAAACGAACCTTCCGCGATTTCCTGGAACTTCTTTGACGCCCCAGGGTCCTTGTTCTTATCCGGATGGTACTTCATCGCGAGTTTCCTGAATGCTTTCTTTATTTCCGACGTCTTCGCACTTCGTGGAACGCCGAGAACGTCATAATAATCCACGGAAGCGTGAATTAACAAAATCACCACCTTCGTCGACAAAAATAATAAAAACAAAAACCGTTCGCACATGACGAAACCAATGAGATGCTTAAAATGAGCATTTGAAAGACGTCATTTAAAAGTGTTCTTTTCGAGACACGAAAAATATTTTGCAGCTAAATATTAATGCAATTGAATAATGAATGTTCACTCATATCCTAAATAAATTTGGCCATTTTACTATTCAAAATTTGCTGAAAGTAATGTAGTTAATTTGTAAAAATAGTGGATATAAATAAAGAAATGAATGAAAAAATCGAAAAATCAGAGAATGAAGAAACTGGAAAGGTGAACGAAAATTTAGTTCGATCGTTATAGGGCATTATTTTCGAAGCGACCAATGTGGGGGTATAGCTCAGTGGCAGAGCATTCGACTGCAGATCGAGAGGTCCCCGGTTCAAATCCGGGTGCCCCCTTCCTTTTGCCTGCTCACCCAATTGTTCAGTCGATCAACTTTACATTTTAACAATTTCCATTAATCGAGAATTAGGCACCTTTACTAGATTAGGTAACAGAGAAGCACATTAAACGATGCCTGCGTTTCGCAAGAGTGGTGCTTCAGGAGGAGATCTGCTTTGGTACCATTTGTGTGGTATTGGAATTTTTCACACGTGAATAAATGGTTAGCACTCACCTTTCCCAGCGGCCATTTGCACTAATGCAGTGCATAAAAGTGCAGAAGACTCGTTAAAACCACGCTTTTCTCTTTTTTTTTCCTCTGCCAGAAGCAGAATACGAAACGCCGACTCCTAGTACACTAGTAAATGCAAAATGAAGGAAGCATTTGAAGAGTTCAGAGGCGATATTCTCCAGAAGTTTAATTGGCCCTAATTTCATGTTTCTGAGTGGCAAAAATTATTTTTTGCTTCCATAGTTGCAATTCACGAAAATCTCGAAAAACGTTCCGCGATGAGCACCACCGTTAAATCTAATCTCAACAAAGTCGTTCCATTGCGAGAGGCAGTCTTTTACAGCCCTAAGAGGTACTCTCATAGAGGTACTTTCATTCCTATTTTAGGTCATTTCATCTTTTTTAATCGAGTTTCCGAAGATGAAAATTTTGATTATTGCTGATTCGAGCTGCATTAGGATGAGATTACTTCGCCTAAAAAAGTATTTTTTACAATATTTTTTCATTTTTTATAAAAAATAGTTTCCTAATATACAATAATATTATTTATTTATATTTTACAATTTTACTCGTATCTTCCTTCATTCTGTGCAGCAGAGTTTTAGCGATAGGTGATTACTATTATTTAATGCCCACTTAGGTGCTAAGTGGTTGAAGTGGTTGCAGCTTCTTCGCTGTCACCATTTCAGTCTCATATTTCATCCTTCTTCATGCTTTCTTCTCCTAACAGCTCTCACCATTGCTGGTTAGGTTGTCTGCGCTAACTGCAAGGCTATGCAAATTTCCAAACTGTTCGATGCCATTTCTGGCAATAATAGAGCCATTCCTTTCTCCATCATCTAAGTCCATATATCGCTGGTCCACCGATAAGTTCAAAATTTTTCCTGACCGTACCACGTGTCAGTCCACGTCTTGATTGGTCCATCTCATCACCTTTTGACGTCACGCATCACAGGATTTAGCAAATAGCGAAATATCAACTTTTACAATGGACAAAGAAGAACCTAACCAGCGAAGACGACGCTCCGTGATGGTACTTTTAATGCAAGTTGTATTCATTTTATTTATTGATTTTATTTATTTATTTATTTATTGATAACCAGCCAAGCAAGGCGACAATGCCATGTGCTTGTATTAATAATAACAATTAAGATAACAGAAAAAGAAAACACAAAAAAAAAAATATAACATAAACAAAATTAATTACAAAACAATATGACAAAAACAAAAATTAACAATTTAAAGAGGAAATTACAGATCAATATAATATAGTACAATTCGAAGTAACGATAGCCTGAAGATAACCTGAAAATAAAATCGAGATTTCTCACTTCCTGCAGTTCTTGCTTGGTGTAAACTCTTCTCTTCTCTTTTTTTTTTTTTTAAATAATATCGTAAATGATATTATCTTTTAATGATATTAAGGACAGCTAAGGATGACGCACAAGCTACATCGTTCGGTAATTTGTTCCAGTAGTTAATAGTACGAATAAAGAAGTTGAGTCCTTAGTTTAGTTTTGCATATAGGTTTTAGTAATTTTAAGCCATTAGTTCTTGTTGGATTCAAATTTAGTCTAAAGTTATAATATTTCGAGCAGCCTAGTTTAACATAACCATACTTCTTATATGTGTAAATTAAATCTTGTTTAAATCTACGAAATGAGAGAGAATGTTGTAGAAGTAGAAGTATTCGTATTATTTTATAATTAAAATTATAATTTTTATTAGGAGAGAGGCGTCGTAGAAAATATTTTTGGAGTCCTTCGATTATTTTACCTGTTTTACGATGTCTCAGGGAGTAACATGTAGTATTGTAATCAAAAAGAGGCCGAACGAATGCTTTGTATAATTTGATAAAAAAACTTTCAGTTTTATTCTTAAACGAACGAAAAATAAAAAAATTTAGTATCCTTGAGGATTTCTTTACTATGGTTCTGCAGTGAAGATCGAAATCGAGATTTTCATCCATGATTATTCCAAGATCGGAGATGTGTGAGACTCTATTGATTAAATTACCATTTATAAAAAGGTTAGGAAGATCGAATCCTTTAGAGTTGATGTGAAGAACGCTACATTTTTGAAAGGAATGGGTAATTTGCCTGTCAAATAGCTAGTCAGCTATTATGTTGAGGTCCTCCTGCAGTGGAGCAGTGGAGATAGGCTATCCATGAGAATAATAAATTTTACAATCATCAGCATAAAGATAAATAGTAGAATTTGTTACTACTGTGGTGATATCATTTATATATAATAGAAATAGCAATGGCGCAATAGAACTGCCTTGGGGTACGCCTACTTTAACAGGTGTCATGTCAGAAAGAGTTCTTAACATTTACAGCCTGGTAATGATCTTTTATGTAATCTGACACCCAGTTATAGAGGTCCCCTGTTATGCCATAACTATTAAGAGTGACCAATAATTTGTTATGGGAGACAGTATCAAAAGCCTTAGCCAAATCTAGGTACACAACTGATACTATTTTTCCATTGTCAATTGATGCTGACCAATCAGAGGGATTTGCCAATATTTGTGAAGAAGTAGATTTTTGTGTACAAAAGCCATGCTGATAAGAAGATATAAAATTATTGGCATCAAGATAAGTAAGCAATTTGTTCCAAATCAACCTTTCAA